ATTCAACCCTTCAGCAGCCAACCGCAAAACTGAAGCTCCATCTGTCCTTCCAGGAGAGAGCATCGTGAGCAGGTTTTCTGGAAAGGTGTACTCTACTCTGACAAGGGCTTCAGATAGAGAAAGTACTTTCTGGAAAGTTTAAGGGATGTATCCAGAAGCAGACAGCAAAACAGCAGAGTAACAGCTGGTGACATTGCCTCGTGTCGCTGAAAAAGTGGCTCCCAAGTGAGTGGATTCCCAAGGGGAAATCTGTGGGTGACTGAAATGCTGTGCCCCCAAGTGGAGCGAAGGTTTCATATTTGTAGATAATTATCAACGCCTGCTGAATTATGCACTGATGACCCGTGCATTTTGTGTGTCAAATTTTGCCTTCCCTAAAAAATTAAAGACATCCCACCACAGCGATCCACGCACACCCATGTTTATAGCAGTACAATTCATGACAGCTAAATCTTGGAAGCAGCCTACATTTCCATCAACAAAGAAAATGTGGTGTTTATATACTATGAAGTACTACGCTGCCATAAAGAAAGATAGACTTGGGTCATCTTTAGGAAAACGGATGCACTTCCAGACCGTAATACTAAGTGACATAAATCAGACACGGGGTCTTAAATATCACATGATTACGCTTGTATAAAAAGCCCAATGTATACATAAAGAGCAAAATAAAAGATAATAGGAAGTAGGAAGACAGATCTTTCTCAAAGCGGGGGAGAACGAAAGATGGAGGAGGCAGGGAGATAGGAGAGGGAAAGGTGTGCTATATATTTGTACTGACTCCACACCAGAAGTGGAAACATTACGTACGGCAGATATGCATATGTGCCGATGAAATTAATTTTACTTTACAACGTAAAAGCCCATCTTGGTGGCTGCTATACACCCCAAGAGCCCCTTGGGTTACCTTTGCGTGACCACTGGGTGGTCCTCACACTGACCGTGCTGTGACACAGTAACGCTGGCCCTGGTCCCTCCCCCTCCTGCCCTCTGTGATGTATTAACATTTTTTGTGGTGGTTAGTGTTACTAAAATTCCCTAGAATTGGCTCTCTTGTTCTTTAAATCTTTTGGTCATACTATATCTTACTACTTTAATAATGTCGGTTCATCGCATACATATTTTTCAAAAAGCACAAAGAAGAAAATAAAAATCTCTCACGCCTCCATTCTTTGGGGTAAACTGCTAATATTCCAGTGCCTGTCTTTCTAGATTATAAAAACAGATATGAATGGAAACCCACTTTGTGCCAGCAACCCTTCTAGACCCCAGCGACACTGAGGTAAAATGACAAGGCCCCTGCGAGCACATTCTCATAAATAATATGTACAGAAGTGTTTTTTAAAAATGAGAGCAAGATTGTAGTCACTCGTTCCTCATTTATCTATGCACCATCTCTACTTTTTCATAGGAATGAAAATAATCACACATCATTTTCATAGCTGTGCGGTGATTCCGTGGGTGGCTGTATTAGAATCGATTTCATAATCTATAGTTTGAACAGCTAGCCCTTTCAAAGTCATAAACTACACCTCTAGGAACCTGTCACAGAGAGCTTTTTGAGTGTACTTTTGGCATTCTTGCTGGCAAAATAATTTCAGCAACAGTTACCAAAGTTAACTTTTCCTTTTAAACGGCCTTCATTGTGGTAACGTTGTGAGCTGAATCCTCACATCTCTGCTTCCAATGAAAGGGTCGAGGGTCACTTTTAAAAGCCGCTGTGAAGGGGACCGCGCTTGTGGACTCAGTCCGTGAGGTGTTTTGCCACCAAAAGAGCACATTGTGGCCGGGAGATGGTTGGTTTCTCACCAGAAGATTCTCTGCCGTTTCTTCCAGGAAATGGCCCCGCTTCGTGTTATTCACCTTTCTCCTCTTATTTAAGAGGAGAGGATTTAAGAGGATTTAAGTCTCTGGAATCGGGGAATGGTTCTTGTACAACCAGAAGACATTTGCCTAAGACTATGGCTAGGCTTCATTAATTTATTTTGCTAAATACTCCAGGCACAGGCCTAAGCATCTACTATCTGACCTGAATGTACCAAGACACAGTTGAGGAAGTGGCCTGAAAACAAAGTTTGCGAGGGAATGATGCTCCCCACCCTGCAGAGATTTCCTGAGAAACCTCTGATCCTGCACGCCTCAGATAGCTATGAGGCTGGCACTTGTATGGGGGAAGAGAAAGTTGTCCTAGAATATGTAAGACATAGACTCTTCAAGTTATATAGTTCCTAAAGTTCAGTGGTGAAGCTGTTATTTATTTATTGGAGGGGGGTACTGGGGATCGAACTCAGGACCTTGAGCTTGCCAGGGAGGTGATGGAACCACTGAGCTAAATCCCCGGCCCAAAGCTGTCATTTAGAATGCAAAAAAATACTGCAAAAGATGCAGCAACACAGCAAACCACAGTACTCACTGTGCACTTCTCATGAGTAAAGCGCTGTTATAACACACTTTAACGACTGTTACAATCCCAAGCTAGTTCTCAGACTTATTTCACGCTCTAATGAAGTTGGAAGCCATGAGAAACAGTAGACAGCAATATACTGTGTTAATATTCTTTGATATATCTTTGATCATCCACTGTTTTGAGGGAATTGTGCAAGGAGGTCATAAAGATGAATCAGACAAAAACTTGTCGTGAAAGTGTTGGCGGAGCACAGTGGCAGGCGCGCAGCAGCCTCAGGATGGGGCCAGTTCAAGCTCAGGTGTGTTATAAGCACACCGTACACTGGATTTCAAAGACTTAATACTGTAAAAATGTAAAATCTTTCATTAGTAAGTGTTTACAAAGATTACATGCTAAATGGTAATATGGTCAGCTTTCTGTTTCCATATCCAAAAGTTCTGCCAACTATGGACTGAAATTTTTTTAAAATTCTGTCTGTATTAAACAAGCACAGACATTTGATTCTTGTTATTCCCTAAACAATATACCAGAGCAGCCATTTTCACAGCATTACATTATATTACATGTAATATATGTAACATAATGTAACCTTTAGATGATAGATTACAAGTCATGCAAAGATTAAAGTATTTGAGAGGATGTGTGCGGGTTGTGCGCAAATTTTATACAGGGGACTTGCGAGTCCTCAGATTTGGGTACCCTCGGGGTCCCGGAAGTGATTCCCATAGGTACAGAGGGATGATCATGTTTGGGGTATTTGTGTTAAGTCAACAATATTATTAACTAAGTTGATCTAACCTGTGGCTTTGTAGATGTTGAATGTAAAACTACATCATGGACCTCGTGTGGTATTTTGAGGGCAGTGCTGCTCTGCACAATCCTGGCTCCCACCTGCTCTGTGCGTGTAACCGTGTGTCAGGTCTGGGTCCTCTTCCGTAAGAGAGGTACGTGTTACAGATGAGAAAGCTGTGAGCGCAAGGCTGGGTCCACTCACCGTGCCACACGCCTTTTGTATGCGCCAGTAGCTGTGGAAGGTGGCAAGGATACAAGGAGACAAAGAACCTCTCTACATGTGGGACAGGACAAATTCGAAGTAATACCGCAGGCAGTGAGAGGGAAAAGATAGGCTGGGGAAGATAACGGAGCGGGACCAGGATGGGACTGAGCACAGAAGGGTAGGGAGAGGGCGGATGTTTAGGTACCACCGTGGGAAACGGAGGTGTGATCGGAACAGAAGCCTGGATGAGGCCAAGGGGTGAACCTGTGACCATGGACCCTGCCGCTTTCTGCTCAGAGGGGAAGAGCTCAGAACCAAAGGGTCCGGGTGGGTGTGTGTGTACATGTGTGCGTGCACACACACATGTGTGTGAGCATGTGCATCGGCTGTGTGCACAGGCGGACCTGCTGGAATGAGAAGCGTGAATAAGAGAAAGCCAAGAACAAGCTCCGACAGGAAGCCAGGAGCCCCACTGGGAAAAGGTGGAGGTTGGCGGCAGGAGCCTCTGAAGGGTACATCTTGTCCCTGCCCCTCTCCTCCTCTGTGCTTCAGCACTGCCACCAGGTGAGCAGCTGTCCTGCAACAGACCGTTCTGCTGTGATGCCTGCCTCTCCTCAAGCCCAGAAACAGAGGGCCTGTAACCACGGACCGACCCGCCTGAAGCCATAAGTCAGAATGGACCTTCCGCCATGGTGTCCGCCTTCTCCTGTACTTTTGCATGGTGCTGCAAAGCAACCTGGCACAGGAGGCTGCGTGGAACCCAGCAAGGAGGATGTGAAGGTCACAGGTAGAAAGAGAAAGCTCACGGCCAGAGAGCGGGAGCTTCAACAAGGTCAGCTCCAGGTCTTCCATTCTGAAAATGCAAAGCCAAACAATCCAAAAAAATCATCCAAAGAACTCAAAGAGCAAAGGTCAAATAATCTGTATAATTTAAGCCTTGGAAAACATCTAAGAAGTCTTCAGGTTTATCAGAACCAGCGGTCAAAAATGGCCATGGAATGTCCTAGAATGGCAATGAATCCCTCCCTCGCATGCTGCCCGTCTAACCTAGGCTAGCGGGCAGGGAGCTGGACTGCCAGCCGGGGCCTGCAGGACCATTACATCAAATTCAGATAAAGCAAATCAGCCTTATTTTTGTCACACACACAAAAAGTGTTTTGTTGAGCCAGATGACAATTTTGTAGCCTAAACTCTTTGCCTCTCTGTGCTCAGCCTCCGAATTCACCCCCAGGTCACTCACTCGAGCTGAGACACAGCTCTGCAGCCAGGGAAAGCACTAGAAGCCAGCCGGTGTTCTGGATGAACGTATTATTGGTGAAAATAACTTCCCCCAGGAGTCTTTCTGCACACAGAAGTGCTTCAAAAAGGCAGCACCCTCAGGTCAAACGTTCCCCTGTGTAGGGCGAGCCCCTCCCCTGAAAAGCAAATACAGATTTAAAGCAGCCACCAGCTTCAGATAAAAACAAATGCTCATCAGTCACAAGGTCCCCAAAGCCAGGTCATGGGAAGGAGGCTCCGTCCTAGCCCCCCAGGCCGGCTTTTTCGCTTTGATGGGACTCACTGGAAAATTGTTCCCCTCCACGCTTGGCTGTGCCAGTGTCGCCGTGTTTCCTGGGCGCTGGATGTCGGTGCTGTCAGTCAGGCACTTTCCCTGAGCACTAAAATGTACAGATTACACACATCAAAGGCAGGCTGCAACCGCGGGCGCTGAAATTTACACAAATCTGTGCTGCGAGTAACTGGATAAACAATGAGACTAATGACCCTGTTCTTCTTCATCCCCACACTCCCTCGGTGCTGCTGTTGCATGTGGGGAGACGGTGGTGGCTTGGCTTCCAGCCTCCATCCGGGGACTGTCCAGGCCCACGGAGCTCAGAGAGCCCAAGAAGACAACCATGGCTCCTCCATTTTATGAGGGGCATTTGTGTTTACCAGGATTCAAGAGATACCTCCCTTGCCATACCACCGAGGAGAGAGATTTATAGGAACAGGTGACTCTCTCGGCTACGCCGCCCTGTTCAGAGCCCACTTTATTCAGAAGAGAGCCCTGGGTCTTGCCTGAGCATTTTCAGGGCCTCCTCAGAGCTACTACCCCTTAAAACAAAAACAAAAAAACCCACACAAAAAAAAAATAAGATGGAACGCTTGGGGTCTTAGTCATGCTCCTCTTCTGACCAAGAGTAAATTTCAAAAAGGGCTGCCATTGGTAAAGAAAAGCACAAGGAAGGCACGTTGCTCAGTGAACTAGATCGGCATTACTGCTAATCTGGGACATTTGGGGGAAGATGAGTTCGAAACAAATGCTGTCTCTTAAAATTCTGGGGTCCCTTGGATGTGATTCACCAGGCGCTAGACCAGGTGCCGGTGCTCTCAGGAGGCCACAGAAAGAACGCACCCTGGGGCTCTGTGCCCGGACAGCCCTGGGCCCGCTGGACACCTACCTGCTCAGTGTCCCCTACCCCACCCTGTCCTGCTTTCCTCAGTCTGTACCAAGTCACACTGAAGTGACCACACTGTGAGCGGCACCCAGGAAACGATGCCATTGCAGGGTCCCCTTGGGTTAGGAAGGGCCGCACATGCAGGTCACTCAGCTCACCTGTGTGTCCCTGTCACTTCCCATTCAGCCCAGCCACAACTGCCACAAAACCTAGACGCCGCTGCCCAAACCCGCATCCCATTGTGCCCTAAAACAGCGTCCTGGTGGGAGTTTGGGACCCTCAGAACATCTCCTGGACACCTTTTGGCCACCCCTGCCAACCTCACCTCCAAATTCTTACTGCTGCTCTTTGGAAGATTTTAGCCACATGGGCAGGCATTAACACTCCTCGGGCTGTTTTCAGGGCTACTGTGACCGTCAAATGCCTCACAAAAGTATATTCTTTTCTCAGCGTCTTTCCCCTTAAATTCACCAATAAGAATCCAGGCATACTCCCTATCTCCTCAGAATGTCTGTGTCACTACATTCACTCAGGGTGGAGGTAGCAAATGCCACAGGGATTTGGTGGCCCTTGTCACACAACAGTGGGACATGCGGCGGTCTTCTCAGCAGTGCACTTGTGTGTAAGACACGTGTGAGTGCGGCTCCTGCGCTTAGGGTCCCAGGGCTTTAGGAGTTTTTGGTTTTGCAATAAACAAGTTTCTTGAGAAGGAACATCTTGGCCGACAGACTAACACCTTACGTGTGTGCGGCCACAGGCCTTGTTTGAGGGAAGAGCTTATTAATTCACCCCTTTTCAAAGAGGAAAGTGAGTTTGCAACAGGCTGGCTTGCCTGAGGTCACCCATGGTGTGACAGGGAAAGTCGGAGCTTGCCTTCAACTCTATTCCAAAGCCTCTTCTGCAGAGGCATTGCCCAGGCGGTGCAGGCAAGCAGGGGCCTTACAGATTTCTCAGGATAGTGACAGAAAAGTTTCCTACCAGGAGGGTGCAAGAAAGATCCCCACAGTCCATCCCAGAGAGTATTTCAAACCACAGCAACCAACTGTGAGCTTAAGTACCCTGATTAAAAAAGATATCAACACTGATCTTCCAGTATCTGACTTTTGTGGAAGAAAACTGCAATGCACTGTACCCTGAGAAGAAAAGACAGGAAAGCCAGAGGCACGTCCAGCCCCACCAGCCTTTCCCAAATGTGGTGGCAGAAGAAAGTGTGAAGCCTGCTGAAATAAGCCAGTATTTATGGCTGCAGAAATTCAGCTGCACGTAACAGTAATCATGAACAAGATATTTTCCCTAATAAAATTACTGCAAAACAAAATCTGGAGAAACTAAGTGTTTCCCTATGTGTTCTTTATTTGAGTCCATGTGCTCAAGGATGGTTCCCAAAGAAAGGAGGAAAGAGAGAGAGAGAGAGAGAGAGAGAGAGAGAGAGAGAGCGCGCTCCAGCCAGAGCGGGGAGCAGGAGCTCGGGCGACCGGCCTCTGCAGAGGCTTGGTTCTGCTTTAGGAACTGGAATGTGTCCAGGCTTGATTTTTATTTTCAATTCACATTTCAGATCCAGCTCCCCCAACTCTTTGATCTTTCTCCCTGTCTCCTTACCCGGAAGAGAACCCTTGGCCTTCTCAGCTGGGAGCTGGGAGCACACGTGGAAAGACTGGCTCGGATTCATATTCTCTCCAAATTTAGTCACACAAAGGGGCCTGCAAGGGAAAAAAGAAAGGATGAAAGCGGCAACCGCCGACTTCAAAGGCCGCGCCGCCGCG